GGTTTAGGCCACAGGACCCGCGGGCGTAAGCGCTTGCGCGGCCGGTGCGCGCGGGGCGGCGTGGAGTAACGGCTGCGGCGCGTGAGGCCCAGGCGGATGGGGGAGGGGCGGCGCGAGCTCGCTGGCTTCTCAGGAGAGTTGCGGCGCCTGAGGCGGGAGTATCCCCGAGGCGCCCGGTGGTGCCGCCCTGTTGTGCCTCCTGTTCCCCTGCACCCCAGTTCCTCCGTCCGCGTCCTCTACCCTGCCGTCTCGTGTGAGCTGTTTTTGGCCCGGGCACTACGGAGTTTCCGTGGGAGTGACTCGGGGGTCTCGCTGTAGCAAGTCTGTCTGCTGGACGCCCCCTCCTTCCTCCTGCTCCAGGGCTCGTCCCTTTGGAGAGTGTGGCTCTCCCGCTTGGCCACCTGAGTCCTCCCTGCCCCACCTGAAGGCGATGGAGGGCTGACAGCCCCCAGAGGGGCTTTGAGTGCCATCCGCACTCTCCAGGAGCGAGAATGTGCCAGAGACTGGAACTTCGGGCCCGTGAAACCTGGCAGGAGGCTGGAAGGGAGACGAACCCCACGGTTTGCAGTGATGAGTTAGTTACTGTCCCAGAGCTGAACTTACCTGCATTCGCTAATGGGCGTTTTTGAGTCCCTCGCTGGCCCCACCGTGGAGCCGAGGTCTCCGGAGGAACTGCTCCCCCTGTGGAGTCAGATGCGTACTTGCACTGTCTCTTCTATTACGGGTAGACCCAGGGGCGAGTTGTCTGACCTCTCTGAGCTTGAGCTTTTTCATCAAATAGTTACATTTGGTTCTACTCTACAAAGATGGATGTGAAACTCAGATAAGATGGTATAAAACCCACTTCCTTAGTTTTGTTTTGTTTTGCTTTTTCAGAAATGTTCTTTGGGGGCCAGAGTCTGGGTATCTATGAGTGCAGATCCTCACCCATTCTCAAATAAGCCCAGGAATCTCGACTGAGAGGATTACTTCTCTTTAGGCTGTTACCCTCAGGTAATTATATTCTGACACAAACACTTAAAACATTTTTTCAGTCACTTAGTATGTGCCAAGCACTGAAGTAAAAAAGACAACACAAAACGGATCCTTGCCCTCTGACAGAGCAGGTAGGTGGAAGACATAAGTAACCTCCTCAGCCCAACATGGTAAGCACGATTATGGAAATGTGTACAAAGTCCTGAGGGGACAGAGAAGAACATTGTCAAAGACAGGCTGGAAGGGAAAGGATGAGTCAGACAAGCCCCCAGATGATGATGCTCAGGGATGGGTTACACGTAGGTAGTTCTCAAATCTGGCTTTTTATCAGAATCACTAGAGTTCTTTTAAAATGAATCTGAATTTCATCAATAGTATCTCAGCATCCCCCCGCCTGCCACCCCCCCATCCCCCCAAGTTCCTTTGGTGAGTCTGAAGTGCATTCAGGGCTGAGAACCAGGCAGACGTATGTAGGGTGGGTGTTCAAGGCAGTTTTACAAGAGCTTCCGTAAAGACAGATAATGAGACACCAGGAAGCATTCTGGGAAGAGCAAGTGAGAGGGAATGCACGAGGTGATGCTGAAGCCAGGTCATGGAGGACCTTGTGTGGTGAATTCAAAATTTTTAATTTTATCCCCCAAATGTAGAGTTATTTGTGCTTTCAAAGTCCAGCTTTTGCTTTGGCCTTTGGCAGCATTTTGGAGGAAAAATTGGTGGTGGATCAAACAAGAGGCAGGTCATTTAGTTTCTTCTGTAATTCCGACAAGTAATGAAAAGGTATTAAGCTAAGGCGGTGGCAGTCTCACTGAGAGTGTAGAAGTAACTAATTGGTAGACTCTGGAACTCATAGACATGGGGGCTAAGGAAGGAGAGTGTAGGATAAGTCACAGGTTACTGGTTTGAAAACTGAAGGGATGGTCATGCCATGGATATAGAGAATACAGGCCAGATAACAGCTTTAAGAGAAGGGCTTTGTTCTGTTTTGGTCCTGCTTGCTTTGAGGCACCGGTCAAGTGGGTGGAGATTCACTGTATGCAGTTGGATTCTGAGTACAGTTGGCCCTCCATATTTTTGGGTTTTGCATCTCCAGATACAGAGGGCTGACTGTTCATTGTACTGTTCTGTTTTATGTAAGGGACTTGAGCATCTGCAGATTTTAATATCCATGGGGGGGCTCCTGGAAAAAGTCCTCCGCAGATACTGAGAGACAGCTGTATATCTTTGTGGAATGCTAGGCTTATTTTTCATTTATTGAGTAGCTGAAACGAAGTTAAGCATTGTATTGAGTTGTGCCTACATTCTCTAGGGGAAGCTTCAATTTAGGTAGTAGCTGAAACAGTGGTTTGAATTAAGACATCAAGAAAGAGGACATTGAATAAAGAGGTTAGAGTCCTGAGGACAAGGTTTGGAAATTTTGATAGTAAGAGGTGGAGGAAAAGGAAGATGATCATGAAGGGGATTGAATAGAGGAAGTGAAAGGAAAGTGATATCTTAGCCAAGGAATACGTGGTTAGCATTTTCATATGCTTTAGAGGAGCCAAGTAAAGGATCTGTTGAATTTGGTGGTATTAGGAACTTTTTGAAAACGTGCAGTGAAATGTAAGGTGGAAGCCAGAATTCAAAGGAGTTGAAGTGAATCTAAATTACTTTTTCAAGAAGTTTAGCTAGGCAGGGTAGAAGAAACAGATTGTTATTTGAAGTTTCTGGCTAGCTATTATTGAGAAATGATACCCCCTGGGTAAGTCTGTGGAAGTTACAGTTCTATCTCTGGTGTTATTGACAAATCAGCTTTTTTTTTTTTAGCATTTTTTTTAACATTTTTTATTGATTTATAATCATTTTACAGTGTTGTATCAAATTGACAAATCAGCTCTTGATTTGATGCATGGGAGCAGCTCTTATTTCTGTCCTGCAGCCCCATTAATGATTCCATAGTGATTCCAAACAGTTAAAAACAGTGATGAAATTAACAGAACTGCTCTCTAGAAGAACTAAGTTGTGCAAAAATGTGTAGGATTCAGGATCATCTACCAGCAGTTTTCCCTTAAAAATTGCAATATAACCTATTCAGATTTTTTGGCAGGGGAGGTAATTAGGTTTATTTGTAGATATAGATATTTTATTCTCCATTTTTTTATTGAAGCATAGTCAGTTTACGATGTTGTGTCAATTTCTGGTGTATATATTTTTTAATAGAGGTACTGGGGATTGAACCCAGGTCTTCATGCATGTTAAGCACACGCTTTACCACTGAGCTATACCCTCTTTCCCTCCCCACCACTCTCATTCTGATTTGGGGGGCTTAGCTGTTGGGCCAGTGAAGATTTTATTTTGTTTTTTTGTGGGGAAAGATAATTAGGTTTCTTTATTTAATGGAGGTACTGGGGATTGAACCCCAGACCTTGTGCATGCTAAACATGCACTCTGCCACTTAAGCTATATCCTCCCCCTCTGGAGATTTTAGATTTGGGGACATAACCACACCCATTTACGGCCTTTTGAGAGGAGCTGTGGAAACATGTTTCTGTTGTGCATTGGCCTTATAGCGCCGTTCTCTCTGCATTATAAATTCCATGGCACTTAACTGTTAAATGGCAGTAACTCCCATCTACTTGGAGAAAATTTAGTTCCGGATTTTGGCATGTGAAAGTGGGCCAGCTCTCTGGGTGAAATAAAGAGCAGACTCCATAATTTTCTTATTAGGAGGTTTCTTTTGCTAACTGCTCTTCTGTTAATAATTATTTTAAAGTGTACACCAGTTTATTTGTACTTCAGTACCTTAATTTTTTCAGAACTTCAGTTGACTGCACTATAATCTGCCCAAATCAAGCTTGAAACAGTTGATGTTTGAGAAACCCGTAAGTTTCATTTTCTGTTCTTGAGTCATCTAGAAAGTGAAACTTACTGAATTGAATTAGATCACCGGAAACTTCTAACTTCATAGTATTATAGTATTGGCTGCTCAGATATAAGAAATTCTTCTTTGAATGAAATAACTTATGTCCTGCAGAAATGTAGTGTCCGTTATATTACTTGGTATTCCCTAGTTTGCAGCATCCTTCAAAAAATGTAATTGAGTTAGAATTAGTGTCAGGAAAGAGCAGGACCCTCCAGTTGAACTAGCATGTTACTTTCCTTTTTTTCCCAAATGAAGACTGTGTGATTTAATCATGTCATCTTTTGCTCTGCTTTTCAAAAGGAAGCTCCTAATTTAGGATTTAGTGAAATGAAATTTCTTCCAAATAACTTTTGATTTCCCTCTCTTTTTTAATCTCCTTTTAAAATGTCCTTTTCTGTGTGTACTTTAATGTTGAAAGCTGCCCTAAGTTCTTTTTTAGAAGCATGAAGAAAGTATACAACTTATATTTAATGAATTTTAAAATCGATTCACAAGACAAATACATGTTTTTGATTACACAGAGATTATAAATTCTGTCAAGATGTGATCCATTTCCCATTAGCAGAGCCTATGCACTTTGAATTTTAGAGTGGTACGCATTGAGAAACTTCACACTGCCAAGTTTCTGTACCTAAGTATTCAACGACTTGAGTCATGTTTCTTACCCTTTTATTATCCCTTCTCCCTCTCTGAAAGGAGACTTTTTAGACATTTCTTTCCTATGAGTTTCCCTTGAATTTTAATACCACCAGTGTATTATATACCTCTTTATGTACTTTATATATGTCTGTGCTTTATGCATAAAAAGAGTAGGACTTTTTTGTGTCTCCCTAGCCAGTTTGATGTCCCTCCCAATAAGAGTGCACAGGTTAGGTTCACCCAGTTATGATGTGAACTTCATGGGGCTTATATTTGGGTTTGTAATTTTTTTCCCATTAGTCTGATACTTTACATTCGTAGGATAATTAAGGTCAAGTTTTTAAGGTCAGGCTTTTGGGGTAATTTCCTGGCCCAATTCCCAGTAAAACAAAACATTTTCATATGATAGAACACTTGGTTCTATTCCCTTTGGGTGTGGTTTTCTTCCTTGTCAAAGACTGGCTAATATCTGTTTGGATAATTCCTTAGGCTTGTCTTGCAGTTTTTCTCATGAATGGGCTGGGGTTACGGGTTTGGGGGAAGCATACAGCAGAACTGAAGTTCTTTCCTCTTCATGGTATGCCAGGGATTACCAGCACGACTTGCTCCTGGCGATGTTAACCTTGATCGCTTGCTTACCATTGTTTTGGCCAGGGGTTTCCACTGTAAGTGTGACCTTTACATACTGTCTTCTTTGGAGTGCTTTATCAAGTCCACTCCTCGCTTAAGATGGGATGGGGTTAAGCTCCACTTCCTGGAATGGGGAGTATCTGTATCACTTTGGAATTCTTTCTTTGGGCAAATTTGTCCCTCCCCCACATTTGTTTATTCAGTCACTTGTATCAGTATAGAGTCATGTATATTTACTTTATACTGTGGCTGATAATCCGGTATTACATTATTTTGTTATTTGTTTCAGCTTTGGCCACTGAGAGCTCTTCCGGTGTCTTGAGCACTTTTTTTCTGTCACCATAAGATGTCGCAGACTCACTTGTATTTTCCCTGCCCCAGCCTCTTACTTGTTTATTTCAAAGCAAACATTTGCTATTTGTTTAGCCACAATGCATTGCTTACTGACAATGTGCTTTCTATTTACTTGTATATGCATTTAGTTATTTATAAGAACACAGCATCTTAGCTTTTATTGCACCTCATTAGAGTTGGAGATCTGTTTGGATTTTGGCTTCCACCTTATTTGCTAATCCTCTGTTTCATGCATCTGCAGTCTGATAAACTTGCCTTAACGTATATCTTCCTTAAAACTGTTGACCCATTGGGCTCTTGGGATTTCCCCTTGTTTCCTGGTAAACTTGCTACTTTGCTGTCTTTGAGACTGCTAGGATATGGGAAATTTATTTCATCTTAACCCTTTCACTTGAGTTTAGGTGGCGGAGGCTCCAAAAGGATTGTAAAGCAAAAATCGGTGTTAGTCAGAAAACTGCGTGTGTCACACTTACTAGCAATAGATTGTCAACGTTTGTAGTTATTACAGTTCATACTGCATCAATAAACAGTGAATTATGAGCAGCAGTTCATACATACGTGCAAATTCATGTATATATACTTTCTAACCAAGAGAAAATTCATCTCTCTATGAATTTCTATTATTGGTATGGACTAATATTTATAGATTTTTAGGTTTCCAGGGATTTCTGGAGCATGGCTTCAGGAAATATGAAAAGTTTCCTAAGCTTTTCACTTGACTCCAGTCCATTATTAGAGCACTCCAAAATCTGTACTTTGAAAACATTGATAATACATATTTTTCATCAATACTGCATAGTTTTGAGTCTTCTTTATAGCACAACTGAACATTGCCTAATGATGTTTATCACTAACTGCTCTCATTTCACTATTTTTCATGTGTCACAGATAAAAGATTTTAGGAGTAGGCTCAGGTTGAGTTTAGTCAGTGATTGATAAACTGGCCAGCAGAATGGATGTGGTCAAGACACATTTTAAGTTGAAGACAGGATCGTTACTAGAAAGTGTATCCATTTGTCACACAGAATAGGCCTGAAGGGTTGTGTTGTTCTTTTTTCTCAAGTCTTTCAGTGTCTTCTTTTCTGGATGTAGGTACAGAATGAGCACATGTTGTTGGTGTACGCCTGGTGGTGTTTCCACCATTGACTTCCTACAGCGCTATGCATCCAGGATCCACTCCAGTGAATTTCAGACAGCCAACGAAGACCTCTGCTACTGCTTAGAGTGTGTGGCTGAATATCACAAAGCAAGGGACGAATTGCCACACTTACATGAGGTAATTGACATTAGATGGGCAGTTTTTTAGAGCTTGATAATTAGGAAAAGAATAAATTTGAACTCTGTTGGAAGCATTCAGGGAACTGATGATGTGATTTAACTTTGAAGGCCGATATATTTCTAGTACCTGACTCATTGCCTGGTATATGGTAGGTACTGAGTAAATGCTTATTGACTGATGGAATTGAAATATAAAGCAGAATTTTATAATCCTCTTTTAGTCATTTTGATATAAAACAATTTTATGAAATGAAGTGATGTATGGGGGTTTTTTGATTCATGTTTTTATATCACTTGTGTTTGACAGTGTTATTCTGAAGTATCTGAATGGCTTGAGTTATTTTTTCGTATGACTAATACTTCTTTTTTCCCCTTCTCTTTTCGTTTCTTAACAGGTAAATGTTATAAACCAGTAAGAATAAGTATATTTTTCAGTCACAGTAACCAAAGTGAAACACATAATTTTAAGTACGTGGGTTTGAATATTTGGTTTATTACATTTATCTGCTGAAAATTGGAACACAGATCATAGAGATATGTATAATAATACAGAAATTTGAGGAGAGGGGATGATTCGTTATGAACCTGTTGAGAAAACTTTTACAAAGTTACCCTGCTTCCAAGTTTTACAAAGTTTTCTAGCTGACTGATGTCTTTATGCTGAAGCTGATGTTTTCAGGTGGGTACCTATGGCTGGAACACAGAAGGGAAGACATGGAACACCTAGCTCTTGCCTTGACCAAGACGCTCCAGCTACTCATTTCCTTTTTAATAGAGTGTAGTTGATAGAGATAGTGACATATCTTATAGTAAAACTCCTCAAGAGCATCTCAAGCTCTGTGTGCTCATGTTCATGTATCATACAAACCGTTTTTATGTTTAGTGGCTGTTTTCTTCAAAGCTAATACATGATGTTTAATACTTCTTTAAACTTCTGAATTTTTATACTTAGGAAGAGGCTTTCTAGAAAGATCATCGCATCCAGTATACTTTGTTGTTAAAGATATAAAGCACACTGCCCATTTTTCTTTCCCTGTAGATTTTATGGGAATTAGAAACCTTACGTCTCATAAACCACTTTGAAAAATCCATGACGGCAGAAATGGGAGACGACGACGTGTACATAGTAGACAACAATGGGGAGGCACAGCTGTTCGACTTCACTGGCCAAGACTTCGAAAATAAGCTGCGAGTTCCTCTTCTCGAAATACTGAAGTATCCTTATCTGCTTTTACATGAGCGTGTTAGTGAGTATCTTGGGTATTCCACAATTACATCAGCTTTATTATTTTAAGAATTGTAAGCATTTTGGTTTATCTATATTGAAAATCTGTTTGTTAAACATATAATTAGGATACTTAGTATTTTTCCCCAACATTTTATTATGAAAGTTTCCAAACATACAGAAAAGTGAATTACACAGTGAATACCATATATACACCACGTAGATTCTGCAGTTACTAACATCCTGCTGTATTTGCTTTATCACATGTTCATCTAAATTCAGTTAACTTTCTTCTTTGTAATTGCCTATAGCAGAGTTTCTCAGCCTTGACACTGTTGACATTTTGGACTGGATGGTTCTTTGTCATGGGTGCTGTGCTGTCCGTTGTAGGATGGTTAGCAGCGTCCCTGGCTGCTCTCCACTAGATGACAGTAGTTCTTGCTCTCCCCACTACCCAAGTTGTGACAACCAAAAATGTCTCTAGATATCACAAAATGTTTCTTGGGAGTTGGGGCGCAGGGCCAGGGAGAGGCAGAATTCATTGCCCCTGGTTGAGAACCATTGGTCTATAGTAATTTTTGCTAATCACAGTGGCATAGCAGATTATGGCTACCTAGGGTTTGGTCATTCATATTTGCATTTCTTAATATGAATCTCTTAGAGACGTTTTCCTGGTCTATCAAATCTAACAAAATAACAGCACCTTTATGGCATCTACTATATCTAGTCCATGTTCAGATTTTCGCAGTAGTGACAAAATGTGGTTTTTGGCTGGTTTATTTAAATTAGAGTCTGATCAGGGACCATACATTTGATTGCATGTGATTCATATTTTGTACATCTGTTTTAATCCAGAGTAGTCTACTCTTGAACTCATGTACAGACACTTTTTTTGTCATAACTTTGGCTTGCTGTTACCAGATGGATGTGCTATAGAATAATGAACTTCCTGGAGTTTTCTCATTGCTTTCTTGTCATGTTGTTCAGCTTGTTTCTCTGTCCTCTGTATTTTCAGTAAGCTGAAAAGTAAACCTAAAGGTTTATTAGGTAAATCGGTTCTTTATAAATAAATTCAAAATAGATTTTTAAATTCTAACAAGTCATTTTTTAAACATTTACCAAAGAATACTATATCCGGAAAAGTTTATAAGCTTGATGATTTTTCATACACCAGATGCACTTGTGTAGTCAGCACCTAGATTAAGAAACAAACATCATCAGCGCCCCAGGAACTCTCCTTTTACTTTTCCAGTCGTTATTCCTCCTCCACAAAGCTAACCACTGTCACTACAGTATTCTTTGAAGCTTGACGAGCTAAAGTTGATTCATCTGATAGGGTAAATGTGTGAGTCTATTCAGCACACTTTTGAAAGAATAGTGAAGAACCTTCCACAAGACAACAGGGATTGGAATAGTGCTGGCACAGGGAGACTAATGGAACAGTAGAGCGTCCGGAAGTAAAACAGGTATATTAGGGGAATGTGGTGGTTGTTGATGGGAGCATTTCAAGCTAGTGGAGAAAATGGGTTACTCAATAATTGACAGTAGGACAAAATAGCCATTTGGGGGAAAAGCTGATTTTATCACTCAAGTACCAGATAAAGGCCACATGGGTCAAAATGTAGAATGCTAATGCAATTGGACCCGTAATCATACTTCCAAGAAGATATCTTGTGGAGATAATTACGTCTAGTGTGAAAAAAATAGATGTATGTGCTAGTAAAGTCAGAGTAATTCATAGAACACGCTGTGGTCAGCTGATCAGGCTTTCAGGTAGGTTAAGTATTGTTCTTATATATTTATAGCATTTTTATGATTCAGTGAAAACAACCACCACAAAAGAACAACTTTTCATTTACTTACAGAGCAGCTGAAGGAGCCAGATTTAGGGAATCTTGGTAAGTTGGTAAGATTCATGTTTTATGTTTATTGCCGTATTTTTTTCTCTTTAGATGAATTATGTGTTGAAGCACTTTGCCGAATGGAACAAGCTAATTGCTCCTTTCAGGTTTTTGACAAACATCCAGGGATCTATTTGTTTTTGGTCCATCCCAATGAAATGGTGAGTGTTAGGCAATGGGAAGGTATATTTTATTTTTGCATATGCAGATAACTACAGTAGAGGGTTTTGGTGTGTATTTTGTTTAAAATATTTGCCCGAATTACTGACTTGTCGTTATAAAATGACTGTAGTCGAGGAGAGGGTGCTGTGGGGTGGAAGAAGCGGAGACTTAGGAGGGTAGGGAGCCCTTGCGGAAGGGGTGCTTCTGTGTCAGGGACAGGTGCGGGGGTTACTTGAACTCCTTTCCGTGTGCTGACCTGAACTAATGAAGAGGGACCGTTCTCTCTTGCCTTCCTTGCTTGCCTGCCCCACCCCAAGCATGTGGAAGTACCACTTAAAACACTTGATACAATTATCTTGCTAATAAAGGAGATTTTTTAAAGGCGGCAGGGTTGGGAGGGTGGCAGTGGAGACGAGGAAATTCAGTTCCTAAGTGCTAGAGAAGAAGAGGGATGTAAGAATCAGAACAGTGGGTAGAAGAGAGGCAGAGAGCAACGCCCGAGTTCTAGAGCCTGACGTTGAGCTTCATGCTGAGGTTTGAGGTTTACCACCCTTTGGCAGGGTGGCGTGTGCTGTAGGTCCTGTGCACATTGGCCTCTGGAGCTGAGTTACACCATGAAGACAATAGCTGTGAAGGGCTGCTCCGCCAATATAAGGCCAGAAGAGAGGCTTTTTTTTTTTTAAGTGGCTAAGAGTGGTAATGGGGTTTCCAGGCAAAATGGTGGTGAATTTCAGTTTCCTCTATGCTAGACCCATAACAATGATAGTAGAAAGTTCAAAAGTTCAAATTTATAAAGGTACAACACACCCCTTAGTTTGGAACAGAAACAAAAGAGTGACAAATGGCGGCAGACCATAGGCCTGGGTGGCCGTGGGTAGCTGGGGGTTGAGTTCGTGCAGGGTGATGGGCATTATGAGTGTGTACCAGGCAAGGGTAGGACCAGAGGCAAGGCCTGTGCTTAAAATAAGGGTGAGGCTTTCCTGCCTGTGAAAGAAGATGGGCCGAGTACAGCTCTCTGGGACTGGCTTTTTCAAAGCTGCAGATGTACCAGTAGAGGAAGCTGGTCCAGCCGCGCAGCCAGGGCCTGGGCCAAGCACTTGCAGGCGCGGTGGCTGAGTCTGCGGGGCCAGGAATGGCTGTTCATTGTCTGTGCCTGTTTTATGGATGAGGAAGCTGAGTCCAGGCGTCAATGCAGTTACACGGGCTGATGGGTGGCGGCTGGGATTTGTACGTAGGCAGCCTGGCTGCAGAGTCCGTATGCTTTTTTATCTTTTTTGCTTTTGTTTTTTCTGTTCTGTGTGCTTTCTAAACAGTTTTTATTTGAAGATACTTTAAAACTTTCAGAAAATTCTCAAGAATAAAAGTAGAAAACAGCTATAGTTCCTTTACCTGTCATCCCCAATTCTTCACAGTTCCCGCCATTTGCTTTTTCATTTCAATTAACTACATAGCTTTTCTGTTTCCAAACCATTTGAGAGTAGATTGCATATATCATGGCCCTTTACCTCTCAATACTTCAGCCTAAATTTCTTAAGAAACAGTACATTCTCACAATATTATAAACTTCGGTGAATTTAATATTGACATAGTAAGGTCTGTTTTCCAGTTGTGACCCAGGATACTGCATGGCACTTCCCCACCATGCTCCAGCATGCAGACCAGGATCAGGATTTACGTGTAGTTACATTGGTTTAGTCTCCCTTAATCTGAAACATTTCCTCAGCCTTTCTTTGTCTTTTATGACAATTACATTTCTAAAGAATGGTCATTTCTTCCCCACCCCATTTAAAAAAAAATTGAATGTTTTTTTCCATTTTGGATTTGTCTGATGTTTGCTCGTGGTTAGCTTCAGGCTGTATGTTCCCACCTGGAGTACCGCATACGTGATGTTATGTCCTTCTCGGTGTCACGCACAGAGGTGTGCCGTGTCATTTTGCCTCTCATGGTGATGTTAATTTTGATCACTGGTTGAGGTGCTGTCCAGTTTTTTCACTGTTTAATGTCTGTTTCTTAGATACTTTAAGATCGCATAAATACCCTGCTTCTCGCCAAAATTTTCTCCTAAATTTAACATCACCTGATGGTTCTTCCCTGAGCCAATTTTTCTAAGATTGCAAAATAATTTTACAACCCCAGCCTCTTCTATGTTTACCACTCAGCGCTTGACATTCCTTATACTATAATCAAGGGACATTTTCCCTTCTCCTGTTTATTATCATTCTAGATGCACTGATTGCTTTTTTCAGTAACTTTAAATTCATTACTTATGTTGCCATAGAGCCCATTCTTCTGTCTATTAATTCTGTTTTTCAAACTTTTCTGCCCATAACCTAAGTTAGAGTTTTTCATTGAGTACACACATACATATGTGTACGTGACATAAACATTTCACAAAACTATTCTTACTCTTACTGTGAGAGATGCACACTGATACTTTTTCTGTTCCATTTTCTTAAGTTTATTAAGGTTGTAATTGCTAAATTTAATTTGTAGCCCACAAGAAATTTAACATCACTACTCTTCGCTCTATGGCCATTTAGAGGTGACCTTTGATTTCTTTTTAGGTTTCTCTTCATTTTTTATTTCTTTTTTCTAACTTTCTATTATGGAAAATTACAAACATACAAAAGTATATTGGCATAATGAACCCCCATATATCCATGACTAGCCTCATCTATTATCAGTGCATGGTCAATATTCTAGCCCCCTTCGGTTTAGTTAGCACAATTCTTAGCAGAGCATTTCATCCAAAAAATACTTCAGTATATGTCTCTTAAAAGATGAGGACTTTACAGAAAAAACCAATTACGTCAACACACTAATAAATCTTAATTTCATATTTCTAGTCAATGTATAAATGGAAATGATTATCTCATAAATGCTTTGTTAGGGTTAGTTTGTTCAGATCAGGATCAAACAAAGTTCACATATTGCATTACAGTTGACCCTTGAACAACATGGTTTTGAACTCTGAGTCCACTCCTATGCAGGTTCTTTTTAGTAGTATATAGTACTACACGACCAAGGTTGGTTTAATCCATGATGCAGAACCTCGGATATGGAGGGCCACCAGCTATATTATATTTGAGTTTTCAACTATGAGGAGGGTCGATGCCCCTAACCCCTCCATGTGTGGTTCATAGGTCAACTATAAATAGTATTGCATGTCTTTCATGTTTTTTGGGGGGAAGGTAATTAGGTTTATTTATTTTTTAATGGAGGTACTGGGGATTGAACCCAGGACCCTGTGCATACTAAGCACACACTGTTACTAAGCTATACCCTCCTTCAGTGTCTCTTAAAATCTATAGAAAACCCTGTTTTAAGTCGATTCTTGCTATATGTAGACGGTTGTTCACTGAATGAAGTAATAAATGTGTTACACTTTTAGGTTCGGCGTTGGGCTATCCTGACTGCAAGAAACTTGGGGAAAGTGGACAGAGATGATTATTATGACTTACAGGAGGTTTTGACTTGCCTTTTTAAAGTCATTGAGTTGGGGCTTTTAGAAAGTCCAGATATTTATACTTCTTCTGTCCTTGAGAAGGGTAAACTGATTCTTCTGCCCTCACACATGTATGATACTACCAACTACAAAAACTATTGGTTAGGTGAGTATTATTTGTAGACAAATACAGTTACTACTTTCCAGTAGTTCTTACGGCTATCCTGCAGAGGAAGTCGTCTCATTTGGTAATCTACAAAATTGCTCAGTGAAGGATTTCATAGTTCTGCATTCTTGTTCTGTCATTAAATTGACTAACTACATCTTGGTTTTAAATCATCTGTAATCATCTGTAAGAGGTACATTTTCAAGTACGGCAAGTAGATCTTTTATTTAAGGCAATATTAGATGTAACAAAATATTAGCATAGCAGCTCACTTTAACAGGGTTTGATCTATTTAAAAAAATAGGTTTAGTATCTCTTTTCCCATCTGTAAAGGGTTTCTTGGCAGAAAGAGGTACTAGCTTTGGTTTTCAACAATTTCTATACTAACTAAAATAGTTCTGCCTTCCTTCATTGTTTCTAAGTCTTGTGTCATATTTGGCAGTGATAGGTATCTGAAATACGGTGATCTTAAAATTTAAGGGATCTTAGATTTTATGAGATCAAATTGTGTGGTAGTCATCTTAGAAATTGTTTTCCAACCAGCTTCATGCCGTTTTCCATTTTAATTCAGTCTAAAGTTCTGTTCTTGGGAGTAGTTATGTGTGAGTAGTTATGTGTGAGTTTGAAGAACTGGATACTGTCTTGTTCCATCTTACTGCCTTGTTATTCTTTTGCCAACGAAACCAGAGAAGGCATGAGAACAGTGTTTTTTAACCAATTTAAGAAAACTCTGCATAATCTTACAGGTATTTGCATGTTGCTGACCATTCTCGAGGAGCAAGCCATGGATTCACTGTTGTTGGGGTCAGACAAACAAAATGATTTTATGCAGTCAATACTTCACACCATGGAAAGGCAATCAGATGGTAATAACCTTTATTTGCTGAATACTGTTATGATGATGCACTTTGAAAATACTAGTGTCACTGCAAGAATTTGGATGCATGATGTGAAGAAGAATGAACATTTTATGGTTTAGGTCACAGATTCAATTCTTTTTTAAAATTGAAGTATAGTTAATTTACAGTGTTTCAGGTGGATAGCAAGTGATTCAGTTATATATATCTATTTTTCAGATTCTTTTCCATTATTGGTTATTACAAGATATTGAATATAGCCCCCTGTGCTAAATAGTAGGTCCTTTTTGTTTATTTATTTTATATATAGTGGTATGTATGTGTTAATCCCAAACTTCTGATTTATCCCTTCCTCTCCACCCTCCTTCCCCTCCCTTGCTTGGCTTTCAGTCTTGGTAACTGTAAGTTTGTTTTTTTATGTCTGTGTGTCTATTTCTGGTTTGTAAGTAAGTTCATTTGTATCACTGTTTTTAGATTCCACATATAAGAAATACAGTATTTGTCTTTCTCTGTTTGACTTCACTTAGTATGATAATCTCTAGGTCCATCTATAGTGCTGCAAATGACATTTTGTCATTCTTTTTATGGCTTAGTAATATTCCGTTGTGTGTTTTTTGTGTGTGTGTCTGTTTGTGTGTGTGTATTATATACACCATATCTTCTCTATCCATTCATCTGTGGGTGGACATTTAGGTTGCTTCCATGTCTTGGCTATTGTAAATAGTGCTGCGATGAACATTGGGGTGCCTGTATCTTTTCAAGTTAGAGTTTTCTCTGTTGGATATATGCCCAGGAATGGGATTGCAAGATCATATGGTAACTATTTTTAATTTTTTAAGGAACCTCCATAGTGTTCTCCATAGTGGCTGCACCAGTTTACATCAACAGCATAGGAAGGTCCTATTTTCTCCACATCCTCTGGCATTTATTATTTGCAGACTTTTTTAACAATGGCCATTCTGACCAGTGTGATGTAATACCTTATTGTAGTTTTGATTTGCACTTCTTTAATAATTAGGGATGTTGAGCATCTTTTCATGTGCCTTTTGGCCATCTATGTATCTTCTTTGGAGAAATGTCTATATTTAAGTCTCCTGCTTATTTTTGATTGAGTTATTTGTTTTTTCTGATATTAAGCTGTATGAGCTGTTTGTATATTTTGGGAATTAATCCCTTGTCAGTAACATCATTTACAGTTATTTTCTCCTAGCCTGGAGGTTGTCTTCATTTTATGGTTTCCTTCACTGTGCAAATGCTTTTTTAAGTTTAAATTAGATCCCATTTGTTTGTTTTTGTTTCTGTTACTCTAGGAGACAGATCAAAAAAAATATTGCTGCAAATTATGTCAAAGAGTGTTCTGCTTATGTTTTCCTCTAGGAGTTTTATGGTATCTGGTCTTACATGTAGATCTTAATTCATTTTAACTTAATTTTTGTGTATGATTTAGAGAATGTCTTAGTTTCATTCTTTTACATGTAGCTGTCCAGTTTATCCAGCATCATTTACTGAAGAGACTGTGTTTTTTCCATTATATATTCTTGACTCCTTTGTCATAGATTATTTGACCATAAGTGTGTAGGTTTATTTCTGGGCTTTCTCTCCTGTCCCATTGATCTGTATGTTTTTATGCCAGTACCATACTGTTTTGCTTACTGTAGCTTTGTAGTGTAGTCTGAAGTCAGGGAGCATGAGTCCCTCAGCTCCGTTCTTATTTCTCAAAATTGTTTTGGCTGTTTGAGGTCTTTTGTATTTCCATAAAAATTAAAAAAAATTTTGTTCTAGTTCTGTGAAAAATGCCATTGGTAATTTGATAGGGATTGCACTGAAGCAGATTCAGAATTTTAAATTGGAAAGGACCTTTAAAGTTTAACTCAACAGCTTACTTTTCATAAAAGACGAGACTAAAGCCCTGGGAAGTTAATTTACTTTTTCATGTTGAAATACCCATAGTTAGTAGAATCAAGGCTAGAACCTAAAGGAGGTAAATTTTTAATGACATGGTAATTAAAATTGGAGAAAGCTTTCTCTGTCCCACTTTCTCCCTTTTGCCTGATTTTTCATTTCATTCTGATTCTCTAGGGTTCCACTGTGCAACAAGGTGGCTGCCAGCCAAATTTGGCTAAATTTAAGTTAATGAAATTAAAATAAAATACCTAATTTTTCAGTCCCACAAGCTATGCTTCAAGAGCTCAGGAACTGCGTGTGCTCGGTGGCTACTGTATCGAACAGTGCAGACCTAGAACATTTCCATTGTCACAGAAGGCTCCCTTGGGCAGCACTGCACAGACAGTCTAGAAAATAGGGTCTAAAATTGTCATGTTTGTTATTAGAGCCCAGTTGTGTTTTGCTAGTGGTTTTATCAGACTGATTAGGGAGAATCTGTACTAGTGTTTCTAACCTTTCCTTCTTTATGAAAGAATGAATAAAGACCAAGCATGCCAAATTTCATGAAGACATAATAAATTTTTTTACGCATATTCATTTCTCTTTAGGCAACTGCAGTGGGGATATAAATTCCTTTGTGGGAGATTCTAAAAGAAATATGTAAATGTTCTTTTTTGATCTACATATATTTTCTTGCTAGATTATTTCTGATTAAGGTTATTACTGATTTATTTACTAGCATTTATTATGGAAATTATTCGTTTCTTTCCCTGTGCTTTGCACATGTATTTCTGTCCTCTTTGTTATTTAGCTCCCCTAACCACCTTCAGAAAGTGAATTGCCTCCTTAAGGAATCTTTCATAATTGTTTTCACCTGATGACTTTTTTTTTCTATGAGAGCTTCCTAGACAGAACTGTGTCAGCTGCAGTAGAGGATAAAAAAGAATGTGAGAAGTACAACACAAATGACTTATGATTTTTTTTTTAAAGTAGAGTCTAAGAGCCCTGAGGGGGAAAAAAGCAGAATGTTCTAGGGTTATCAGTAATCGAGAGCGTTAGCTCACTTGCCTCAGAAGAGTACTGTAGAACATTAAATGGCTGGGGAATGTTGGCTGTCGGGGGAGGTATTTGAGCTGGACTTCAGGAGGGATAGGATTTTTGATAGGTGGTGCTAATAGTGAAGGCATTCTGGTTCTTGTTTGGAAAAAGCTTGCTATATTTTTTTTGCTGTAGATAGTGTGTCTTTATGTGAGTGTGAAAAAATCTGGAAAGAAACAATAGAGTAAGATCTTGTAAGTGCTTGACTGAGGACTTGGAATTTTCTTAGACAACATTAAGGAGCAATTGAAGGTCTTTGAGGAGGGCAGTTTTTGCCACTGGATATTTGATAGAGAAGAGGGAAAGGACTAGAGGTAAGAGCTTGTGAGTAATGAGATTCTTGCCAGTTGGATGAAATGAAGATAACCACAAGGCCATGTTGAGATACAGCGAGTTGGAGGGTGTGTATTACTGCTTATCCAGCAGCTGAGGGATTCGGTTCTTTACATCAGCCAGGTCACACACACAACTCAGGATCACATGAAACCAGAATTTCCTGCATCGTGGTAGCTATAGATACTAAGTTTTTTTTTCTCTCTTTTTTCCTCTGCTTTTTTTCTGTTATTTTTTGGAGGATGGGAGTATAAAGTTCTAGATGAAGCAGAGTAGGAATGATTATTTCAAGTGTGGCGAACAGGATGAGAAAGTTGGCTTTATCTAGACTGTCTTGTGGGGTAGCATAGCTCAAGCGCTTGCTTAGCATGCATGAGGTCCTAAGTTCAATCTCTAGTTATCTCCATTATAAAAAAAAAGATTATCTCAGTTTGTTCTACACAAAAAAATTTCTTATAGAGGTGTATTGCTTTAAAAAAAAGATGGAAAAACAATTTAAAAATTTGCCAGCTTTCTGAACCTTATAGTTGACAGCTTTTAACTTTAAATTACTTGCTGCTTTGCTTTCAGTTTTGTTGCTACCCAGGTAAAGAATGTTTAATTCTCAATATATACCTTTTTCTAATTGTTTTGTGATTTGGCAATTATTCCATTGTATTTCAGATGATAGTGTGGATCCTTTCTGGCCAGCTTTACACTGTTTCATGGTGATTCTGGATCGCCTTGGATCTAAGGTCTGGGGTCAACTTATTGATCCTATAGAGGCATTTCAAACCATTATCAACAATACAAGCTACAATAAAGAGATCCAAAATATACGGAACAGCTCTGTGAGGTTGGTTCAGTTCATGTGTCAGGATTTCAGACAGTCTGGATGAGGAAATCTGTTGTAACTGATGTAACAACAGGGTTTTTTTCTTTTTTTCCCCTTCATTTCAGTAATTTCTGTTTATTCTTTTAAGGGCCAAGTTAGAACCAGAGTCGTATTTTGATGATATGGTGACTTGCAGCCAGATTGTGTACAATTATAATCCTGAAAAGGCCAAAAAGGTATAAAACATTTTGAGAATTCAGACGATAATTGTATTGCATTTGTATTGTATGGACAGTGTTTCACATAATTAGTTCAGTTGCCGATTTTATGATACGTAGTTATTCTGAATCAACTGTTACGTAAAATCTTTCTGATTGGACAGTGGTGTCTGGGGTAAAAATGGACTCTAATGGCATGTAGGAAGGGTGGAATGTTTATGGTATTGGGAGAGACAAGTTCCATGACTAGAAACCAAAACCAGCTAACTCCGGAAAGAAGGTCAGAGTTTATGGAGATGTTATAAATTTACCTTTTCATGAAACCTTAACCTCAAAATTGAGCTGTGTTTTCAGTTTCTAGGGGGTATGTATATGTACACCAAAACAGGAAAGTTGAGCAGCATATTGTCTCGTTTACAACTTGTGTGTTAATCCTGTCACGAGTGGTGCTTGTTTATCTGAATGTCAGTATTTCTTTCATTTTAGGATTCAGGATGGAGATCAGCCATTTGCACAGATTATTGTCCTAACATGTATGAAGAAATGGAAACATTAGCCAGTGTGCTTCAGTCAGATATTGGTCAAGACATGCGTGTTCATAACAGCACATTTCTGTGGTTCATCCCTTTTGTTCAGTCCCTCATGGATCTGAAGGATTTGGGTGTGGCTTACATAGTGGAGGTTATTCATCATCTGCATTCTGAAGTCAAAGATGTCCTCAACCAACCAGATGCCATGTGTGACAAAGTCACTGAGTTTTTTCTTCTGATTTTGATATCAGTGATTGAACTTCATAGGAATAAAAAATGTTTGCATTTGCTGTGGGTTAGTTCCCAGCAGTGGGTGGAAGCCGTTGTAAAGTGTGCCAAGCTTCCCACCAGTGCGTTTGCACGGAGTTCTGAGAAGTCATCGGGAAATTGCTCCAAAGGAATGGGAATGATATCGTCTCTGTCATTGCATTCAATGCCATCTAACTCTGTGCAGCTGGCTTGTGTGCAGCTGATTAGAAGTCTCCTTAAAGAGGGTTATCAGCTTGGGCAGCAAACTCTGTGTAAGCGATTCTGGGATAAGCTCAACTTATTCCTGCGAGGAAATTTATCTTTAGGTTGGCAGTTGACCAGTCAGGAAACCCATGAGTTACAGGCTTGTTTAAAGCAAATTATCAGAAACATAAAATTCAAAGTACCTCAGAGTAGCGCTTTCATGGATCTGAGTCCTCTGTGTAAAACCCCTCTTGTATCTTGTAAAGAAGAAAGTGAACTGTTAGGGAAGAAATCTAAAAAGGACATGAACAGCCCAACATTTTCTAAACAACCAATGAAAGCTGAGACACATCAACTGCAAGCAAGTATTTTGAGCAAAGCAAATAATGAGCAAAACCACATAAAAGATCTGAAACTAGACCACCTCTCAGCTGAGCCTTGTTTAAAGCAGAGAAGTAAAAACATCACTGAAAGAGCTCAAGACCAAATGAAAGTAAGTACAGGGAAGTGTAAGTCTGTAAAAGAGAATGCCTCATGTACACCGCAGAATTGTACTTCAAGAAATGGTCCAGAAAGGGTATTTGACAGAGGAATAATAATGTTGACTGATTCTAGCACTGATTCTCTGGAAAAGGTGTCCACATCAAATGAGGATTTCTCTTTAAAGGATGATGCTCTGGGCAAAACCTCAAAAACAAAAACTAAGACACAGAAAGATGAAATCTGTGCTAAGTTATCACATGTAATAAAAAAGCCACACCGGAAAAGTTCCGTGGTCAGCAGTGCTGTCAGTTTAGAGGAAAACCTGCCTGTATCTAGCATTGAGAGTTTCTATTCAAGGAAAGATCTAGGTCAGAAAGGAGATGGCTTCATGCATAACCTCTCTTTGGACGCTAATGGTATTCTGGACGAGAAAAATGGAGAACAAAAGTCAAACAGTTTATTGCTGAAAAAGAAACAAATAAAGAAGGAAGAGTTGGATACCCCTGAAAACAGCTGTCAAATACAGGAGTGTCATGTTGGTGATAAGAATTTGTTTGCAGAAATGCCCAATACTATTGTGAAGAAAACACCTTTTAAAGATCCTGTGACTGTACTTGAAACAAGAGGTAAGGATATTAGCAAGTGTACCGACCAGGTTTCTTCTGCTTTGAGAGAACTGCCCCCTAGCATCAGTCCTAAGTCTGACATCTTAACAGATTCTCAGATAGACAGAGACCTCCACAACTTATCTCTAATAGCTCAAGCCAGTGTTACTAAGTTCCCATCAGATTTGACCCAAACAAGTTCATCCCAGCTACAAAGAAAAGTAAAAGATGATAAAAGATGTTTCACAGCTAACCAAAATAATGGGAAAACCTGCCGTGGGCATGTTATTATTATCTCAGATTCTGATGATGATGATGATGATGATGAAAGAATTCTGGGTTTTGAGAAACTCATTAAACAGGATGAACTGTGCATTGGGAAGGCCTGTCCAGAGCAGCATACTTCAGTAGCTGATATGAATGTGAAACAGAAGGTGATCAAGGAAGAAAAGACAAAGTCCCTGTTGGAGTTTGAGGAATCTGATTCTCAGTTTTTTGAGTTTGAAAGTCCATTTGAAATGTTTTCAGTTTGGCAAGATCAGAAACCAGACAACAACAGTTCATTTCAAGAGGGTGAAAAAAATTCATGCTTGACTCATATAGGTGATACCACAAATGACTGGGGTTATGATACAGATTGTGTGTCTGGAGAGGTCATTAAAAAAGTAGCAGAGGGTGTCGAGGAACAAGCAGAACCACAGAGGAGGAGTATTTCTGTTGAAGAGTTTTGTGAAATTGAGGTAAAAAAAACCAAGAGAAAACGATATGAAAAGCCTATGGCTGAAGATCATCTAAGGCCTTCTTCTGTCAGAAGTAAGGACCACTCTGATCTTAACGAGAGAGAGCTAACTGAAGATGATGTAAAAAGTGCAGATGTAAGGACCACAGCTCCCAGTTCAAGTATTCAGAGACCCACCGCGGCGTCCCTAAAGAAGTCCCCTCCAAAGCTTCGCACTTGCTCCAAACCTGTTCGGAAAGTCTCACTTTCTAAAACTCCTAAGAAGACACATTCAGATACCAAAAAAGGGCAGAATAAAAGTTCAAGTTACATAAGCTGTCGAACAACTCCCGCTGTTGTGCCACCAAAGAAATTTCGCCAGTGTCCAGAACCAACTTCAACGGTTGAGAAACTTGGTCTGAAAAAGGCTCCTCGTAGGGCATTTGAGTTGTCTCAGCGATCTTTAGACTCTATATCTCGGTTACGTGACTATGGCAAAACTGTTGGAGTAGTCGATACCCGGAAAAAGGCTAAATTAATTTCTCCTCAAACTCTGTCTGTCAGAAATAATAAGAAATTGCTGACGAGTCAAGACCTTCAGTTGCGAAGGCAGATGAGACCCAAATTGCAACAAAATAGGCAAAGACTCCTTGACTGTGAAAGTACAGTTACTCCAAGAGCAGGGCCGCACGCAGCACAGGATTCTGACACATTTGTACCGGAGTCCGATAGGTCAGATTATAGTCATAAAGGGGTATCTGAGGTAGCTGCTAACAATAATGAAAAACAGTTAAAATGTGTGTCTTCTGAAACAGAACCCACGAAAGCAAAAGACGTTTCTGAGGTAACTGATGATCCTTGTCTCTTGAACTGGTGCAGTTCTGTAGTGTGGAATGGAAGAATACCAACGAGTGAAGTCATTGTCTCTACTTCAGAGGACCCTTTAGGTGGAGGTGACCTAACAGTACATCATTTAGAGGTGGCATCTTTGAAAGAGGGAGAGCCTGAATCCAGCAGCGATATAGAGGGAGATGATATATTTCTAACACAGCGTGATCCTGAAGATATGGATTTATGTTCACAAATGGAGAAAGAGAATGATAACCTCATTGAAGTAGTTCATGGAAAAGACACAGTTCAGGTAGAAGAAGTTTCCACCAGTCGGCCTCAGTTGGAATCTGTGAGTAGCACAAAATGTAAGTATAAAGATTGTGTTGAAACTCTGAAAAACCAGGGTGAATACTGCTCAAAACACTCAGAAGCTAAAGCAGCAGATGAAGATGTATTTCGTAAACCTGGCTTGCCTCTCTCTGTGTCTAAACCTTCCAGACCCTCCACTACTAAGATTTTTAGCTCAAGTAGTACTTCGCGAATTGCTAATCTTTCCAAGTCTTTGGAGAATACCTCAGCACTTCCACCAGCTCTAAAAAAGTCAACTGGGATACAGTCTGTTTTGAAAGTACCACAGCCGACTTCTCTGGTGTCTCAGAAGCCAATGGGTGAAGTGAAGAGTACATGCAACATCCTTCATCCTCAGACTCCAAATAATTCCAGCAGGCAAGGTTACAAAGTTCCACTTGGTGAAAGCAAATCTTTTCCGGTCTCCTCTCCAGTAAACATCTTGTCATCACAGTCCGTCTCTGACACCTTCGTTAAAGAGGTCTTAAAATGGAAGTACGACATGTTCATGAACTTTGATCAGTATGGGCCCCCGTCAAGTCTTTGTCAGTCCATCGCAAGACACGTGCCTGTCAGATTCCAAGACTGTGGAGATTATTTTAATGTTTTTTTCCCTTTGATGATATTGAATACTTTTGAAACAGTAAGTATGTGCTTTATTGTATACATCTAGACTTTGAAATTGCCTTTCTTTACCGTGCCAAGTAATACTACAGCTAAAATAACTGACCTTGTTTTGACTTAGATGTAGCTTGTAGATTTCATACTGAACAGACTTTGTGCCAGACTGGGTTCTAGATGCTGGTGGTACAGAGGAAACGCTTGGTTGACCTCTGCCCTCCTGGAGCTTACAGACACAGTTCAGAGTGCTAATGTGCCAAGTCCAGAGGTAGCACAGGAGAAAGTGTTTTCTGGGGCAAAGGTAAGGGAGGACATCTCAGAGGAGACAGTCTCCCATCTGCATTTATTTTTTTGAAAAGGAATGTAGACCTTTACTGAAGCTTACTTGAGGAGGTAGCAGAGAGTGAATTACATTGATTGACACAAAGCAATAAATCCAGATTTCTCTGTTCACATCTGCCTTCCCAGCTTCTTACACCTCATAGCAGCTGCTCTCTCCCTGTAGCTGCCTCCCTTACCCCAAACACATCCCATTCTGGGTCTTCTCTCTCCCTCCCTCTGACTAGGATTGCTAAATAAAATACAGGATTCCTGGTGAAATTTGAACCTCAGAAAAACAGCTAGCCATTCTTATAGTGAAAACACCCAGCTGCACTGTGAAGGATGTTTTTGGTATTCTCAAAGCAGGTAGATTTTTACTTCTTCCAAATTCTTTGTAAAAAAAATGACCAAAGTATGTAGTAAGACTCTTAAAAACAAAACCAGGAACACTCAGGTGAATACTTACGTGTTCATTCACTTAACAGATATTTCTGTGCCTGATACTTGCCAAGTGCTATCACAGGCCTGGGAGGGAAAGTGGTGAACAAGACAGACAGGGCCTCTGTCTTCTGGGAGTGATCATTTCAGATGAGGATAAAAGGCTCTAGTGTGATCTAGAATGACCTAGAACAAAAGGGAGAGGGCACTATAGATTGAAAGGTCAGACAGTCTCAGGGAGCAGTGGTGTTGACACTGAAAATGGAAGGGGGGGTGGGTCACGGGAAGTACGTTCCAGGCAGAGGGAGTACAAAGACACTGAGGGGAGATCAGGCTTAGGATGTTGAAGCATTGCACGGAGAGGCAAGTCTGTGTCAATGTATGCCCAGATTCCAGCCAGTGTCTTTTTTTTTTCAGCCAGTCTTGAGACTTGTTTCACTAGAGTTGGGAAAGCGTTAGAAACAACTAATTGATAGAGAGTCTTCAGTCTCTCTCCATAAGAACACAGTGAAATATTTAGTATTACAAGAATAATTTTCTTACCTTACAAAAATTGTTAGCTCAGTGAACAGTTTATACAGTTAAATAAGCCAGGGAAAATACAGAAATTTTCTTCATTTTGAAGCTTATTTTTTTTTCAGCCTTTACTATTTCTGGAAAGCAATAAGCCATTTATTTGAAAGTCATTCATAGTTCTTAAATTTAGGACATTTTTTTCTGATCTTATTTTTCCCTGAGTTAAGAGGTATTTATATGTTCCTCTTTAATGTCTCCTTCTTCAGGACATTTTTGTAGCCCTAATCTTTTCAAAGCAGAATGAACATAAGTTTCATTAATATGTGCACAGAGTTTAAAATAGTCAAATCCTGATGGAAGGCCCATTATAAAAAAAACAGCACACACCATCACCTCCTCAAGTAGTCATGTTTGATTCTTGATGGATCCTCTTGTTATTTGCTTCCATATTTCTAAATAACATGCCACGATTTTGACTTCTAAATTTTTCAGTTTTAGGCATTTTCTGTTAGTTTCCCACTACAGAAAGTACCCTCTCTTCCCAGCCCTACCTTCACACACCCGCTTCCCCGTTTCCCCATCCTGACTGTGAAGCTGTCTTGTAATTTTTAGGTCAGTATTTGTTGTTGTTTGACTATGCAAGAGGCATCCACAGCTAAGTCATGTGGTGTGCTAGAACTACTTTTGCTTTCCTTACCAACTCTTTGCTTTCTCTGAATTTAATATTTTATTTACTTAATTTTCTATATACTTACTGCTAAACTAGCTTCAGACTCTCTTTTAGATTTTAAATCTGATCATGTAAATTGCCTTGTGTCAAACTACTGCTTGCTTTTGATTAGTGTTAACATGGTTTATCTTCATTCTGTTACTTAGTTTATAATGTCTTTATGTATAAAGTGAGTTTCTCGTAGACAACATGTAGTTAGGTCTTGTTTTTTGATCCACTCTTAGCCAATCTGAATTGGTGTATTTAGACCATTGATATTTAATGTGATTATTGATACAGGTGGATTAATTTCTACCATATTTGTTACCATTTTCTATTTGTTACCCTTGTTCTTTGTTTCTGTTTTTGTCTTCCATGCTTTTTCTGCTGTTGTGGTTTTAATTGAGCATTTTATGTAATTCTGTTTTCTATCATTAGCATATCAGTATATATATTTCTTTACTTAGTGATTGCCTTAGAGCTTGCAGTATATATTTAAAACTAATCTAAGTTTACTTTTAGATAATGCTTTATGGATATTGCAACTACTTAATAATAACAGAATATCCCTAATTCTTCTTGTCTGTCATGTCACTGCTGTCATTCATTTCCCTTGCATAGTCATAGATGAGCATGTATGTACACACACGGAAGCATCCATAGTTGAGTATATTGTTGCTGTTATTTTGAGTAAACTATTATCTGTTAGCTCAAATTACAAATAAGAAACATAAAAAATTTAATTTTACCTTCATTTATTCATTCTCCAATGTTCTTGTTTAAGCAGATTAGAACTTCTGACCTACGTCATTTTCCTTCTCTCTGAAGATCTTATAATACCTCTTGCAGGATAGGTCCAGTGGTAACAAGTTCTCTCAAATTTTGTCTGAGAAACTATTTATTCTTCACTTTTAAATGATAATTTTGCAGGATTCAGAATTCTAGATTGGTAGGTTTTTTTCTCTCTTACAGTCTAAATATTTCCCTCTCCTCTCTTCTTGCTTGCATTGTTTCTGAGGAGAAGTCAGGTGTAATTCTTACCTTTTCTATAGGCAAGGTGTTTTTTTACCACTGGCTTCTTTCGAGATTTTTTTCTTTATCTTTGATATTTCATGTTCCTGAGGTTTGAATATGACATGGCTAGGTATCGTTTTTGACATTTATTCTGCTTGGTCTCTGAGCTTCCTGGATCTGTGATTTGGTGTCTGACATTAATTTTGGAATGAGTCATGATTGCCTCAAATACTGCTTCTTTCCCTCTCTCTTCCTCTCTTGTGGTGTCCCCATTATATGTGTGTTCCACCTTTTCTCGTTGTCACATAGCTCCTGGAATATTCTGTTATTTTTTTTCCCCAGTTTTTTGTTTCTTTGGTTTTCAGCTTTCGTACTTTATGTTGCTATGTATCCTTCCAGCTCAGAGATCCTCTCCTCAACCATCAGAGGTGTCTTTCATTTGTATTACAGTGTTTTTGATTTCTAGCAGTTCTTCTTGATTCCTCCTTAGAATTGACATCTCTTTGATTACATCATCCGTCTATTATTTCATAGTCTTTTTCCATTAAACTCTTAGCGTATTAATTACAGGTTTTTTTTTTTTTTAAATTCCGTCAGATAATTCCAGTATTCCTGCCGTATCTGACTGGTTCTGATGATTGTTCAGTCTCTCCAAACTGTAATTTTTGCCTTTGAGTGTGCCTTGTCAATTTCTGTTGCAAGGTGGACATGATCTACTGAGTAAAAGGAGCAGCAGTAAATGTGTCTTTAGTAATATGGTAGTGGGGTATGGGGGAAGGGGAAGCATTCCAGTCCTCGGTGTTGGTCTTTGGCAAGGCAAGTGAGCGCTTGCCTCTGGACAATGAACTTGACACACACTTCTTAGTTTCCCCCACCTCCTGGAGAGGTGACAGGATGGCTCAAACTGCTGGACTTGGTTATCTTCCCTCAAGTCGGTTGGGCTGTGATAAATCCCCAGCAGGTTTGGCTCTGGTAAAATAGTTGCTTTGTAGACCAAGCCTTGTTAAGGTCAGAATGCGCGGGTGTATTTCAAAGTGGTTTCTTCCCCTCAGTCCCTAACCACCCCCTTGCTGGAAGCACACAGGGAATTTTCTCCAGTATTCACTGTGAGGGCCTGGTAGAGCTCCTAGATGTAAAACTCACGAGAGTGCGGGGTCCCCCTTGGGCCTGGGTCCCCCTCAAGTTTTTAACATTCAGAGTTGTCCATACTGAGCCTCCTGTAGTTTGTCAGTTACAGTTCAGTTTTTCCTGTCCTGGCATGGAGGTTTCTACTGAAGAGTTTCTGCTCCTAAATTATGAGGGTAGGTTGTAACTGTCTGCATCCCCTGTCTGTCTCTGCTTGTGGTTGAGATGGAGCAGCGACTTCTGAGTTCCTTACATGCCAAGCTGGAAACCGGAAGTCCCACATTTTTAATGTTTCTGTCACCTGGGATTCTAGGTTCTGGATTTTACTGTTGCTTACTTTGGAAAATGTTGCTGTTTAGCATTGGTTTTTCAGATGATTTTGCTTTCTTAATTTGCTTTTTTGGCTTTGTGTAGGTGGCACAGGAATGGATCAGCTCTCCCAATAAAGAGAAATTCCATCAGTTGCAATTACGAAAATTTCCTGCTGATTATAAAAAATACTGGGAGTTTGTGGGTAAGCCCTTTCTTACGTAACTTGGAATATATCATATAATAATTGGAGATTTCTATCTGAGGAAACATAATGATTGTTGGAATTTTCTGGGACATAGGTTTCCTAATTTGTAACCTCTTATAAAGAATATGTTTAAAGTCTTAATTAATGAGGGTACTTAACAGGATGGTTATGAGTATAAAATTCATGGTTTTAATCATAATGCGATTAGAACACTGCAGCCCGAAGTGTCCGTGGAAGCTGGGCCTGGGAGAGAGAGGGCCTGGGAGGGAACGTGACTGGCGGGGGCGGGTGGGCAGGGGTGTCACCAAGATAGTGTTCATAGATTTTGAGTAAATCTTCCTGCCATCTGTCTTCTCATTGCATGATTGGTCTGAAACACATACCACATTTATGTATTAGTTATAAATAAGCCAAATATTCAGAACCCTTTGAAATAAAAAATGTAAGTTCTCTTTTTGCCCTCCCCCCAATCTGTCCTACTCCATAGAGTCAGTCAAGAAAAAAAGCATGTGTCTTTTTTGGGGGGAAAAGTATTATAATGCTCAGTGTAGAACATTCAGGTAATATCAGCAATAGTAAAATAAACATGACCCACAACTCCCATCATTCAGAGATGATCCTGTGAGCACAGTCATGGCTGTCTCCCTGTTAGACTTCCTACTTATCTATGGAAATTGTGTGAGGGGGGAGGGTAGGGTCATTTTAACTATTCTTGTGACTTTTTCATTCATTTATTCAGCAAATATTTATTAACTTTATACTACCTGATAGTGATTCTACAGCTAGGTTTGTAGCTGTGATGAAAACAAAATTCTGCCTTCATGAAGCTTACATCTAACTTACTTTCATTTACTCTATTGTCAGTGTCATTTCAGAGATAATTAAAAGATAACAGTACATTTAGTAATTGTAGTTATTCCCTTGTAAGCATATTCCATAGTTCTATTTAACCAGTAACTTCTAGTAGACACGTACATTGTAGTTTTTCACTGTTAACAATCACTGTATAAATCCGTTTGCTACGTCAAACAGTACGTGCTTTGTAAGACTTCTGATTCATATTGCCTCTGCCTACTAAAAAGAATACATTTTCACATCTAGCATAAGGATGCTCTTCTTTGTTACTTTAAACTTTTTCCTCAGTTTTGTGTGAAAAATGTGTCTCATTTGACGTTTCCAGTTTTTGTCCCCAAACCTTCCCTGTCTCTTGTGTTCTGGGCTGGGGAGTGGCTGACTGCTCATCTGTGCGCTCCCCTTGTCCTTTTGTGTTCTATTCAATTTCACATGCAGTTTTTGAGGCACAGACAATTTTTATCTTCATGTTCAAAAATACCATATTTATTTCTTTACCGTTTAGATTTTGGTTTTAGATATTAGATAAATACTTTCATTTTTTCTTGTAGTAGGCTTTTATTTCTCTTTAGTATTTAAATGACTGATTTACCTGCCATTTATCTTGATCATATGATGGAATCACATGGTGTTCTCAGGTCTGCCGTCTTTCATCTCACATGTTTGTGTAATTCATCCGTTTTGTGTGCACCTTTGGTATTGTTTTCATTGTTGTGAAAATATTACCATTTTACTGTTGCTGAACATTTTTTCCAGCAGTTTTGGTCCGTGTGTCAGGAGCCGCCCCAGGCTCAGTGGTCCACTAGGAGGACTCACAAGAATTAACATATTCATGCTCATGGCTATGACAGACAGCAGCAAAGAGTACAGGCAAAATTCACACAGGGAGAAAGCGCATGGGGTGGCCTGAAGCAAACCAGCAGAAACTTCCAAGAGCGCTTTCTCAGAGGAGTCACGCAGGACACACTCCATTTTCCCAGTAGTGAGTGGTGACACCACATTTGGAATGTTACCTGCCAGGGAAGCTTAGAGACTCAGTGCCTAGGACACCCTCTGCCTAGCCTAAATCCGTGACTTTCAGAAGTAAAGTGGGTGTTTGACGCAAACCATACTCTGAAGACAGCTTAGGTACAGCAAATGGTGAGACCCGCCCTGAAATCCAGGTTCCCAGACGCCCAGGGCCAGCCTTGCAAGCAGGCCTTCCTTAGAATACCTTCAGGCCTGCTGTGTTAAGTAACTCTGAGACACAGCATTGTATGAAGAATGTTACTATGATCATTCATGTGTCTCTTAGTGTTTTTGTGAGGGCGTTTTTGTTGCGAATGTCCTACAGTGGCTTTCAGAGTCACAGGGTATGCGTAAGTTCAGCTTGAGTAGGTAATGCCAAGCCAGTTATGTGCAGTTATGCACCCCTACCGGTGTGTGAAGTCGCGTTGTCCCTGCCTTCGCCACATGTTTGTCTTGACCGTGATGTTAATTTTAACCATTCTGGCGTGTGTGTGTATTGATGGCCTTTTGTGACTTTATTTTGTAATAGCCTTGTTACCAGTGAGGATGGGCACCGTTTCGTGTATTTAGTAGATGCTTCAGTGAACTCTTTGGGGAAGCCGCTCTTGTTCATTTTCTGTTAGTTGTCTTTTTCTTGCTGATTTGTAGGGAGTTCTTTAAATATTCTGGGTGTAAACCATTCTCCTACTTTGGTTTGCATTCTGACTCTCTTAGTGATGTCTTAAAAATTCTTATTTTATTCTTGCTTTGAATTTCTTATTTTTAACATAACAAATGCACCCTTTTTTTATGGTTAGTGCTCTGTGTCTCATTTAAGAAACTTCTCTGCTGTAGATCGTAAATATATTATCAACATGTAAAACAGGTGTCAGCAAACTACAGCTTGCAGATCTGCCCCATATTCTGTTTTTATACTGCCCTAGAGTAAGGTTTTTACATTTTTTTAAAGGCTTTGGAAAAAAAGATGATGAATATGCAGCAGACACCATATGTGGCCTGCAGAGAAAAATCTGGCTCTTAACAGGAAGTTTGCCAAGCCCTTTTCTAGAGTTCAGTGCTCCGTCAACCTGGAATTGATTTTGTGCCCGAGTGAGACGTGGGGGTCATGTTTCGCTTTTTTCCTGATGGGGATGTAGTTATCCCAGTGCTGCGTACTGAAAAGAGTATCCTTTTTCCGTGCTCTGCACTGGCATGTTTATTGTAAATCTAGTGGCCATTGAATACAGCAGTCTTTTTCTGGGCTCCTTTTTCCTTCACTGGGTTTTTTGCCTACTTTTATGCCCATATCACGTGGTTTACTTACTTATTCTGGCTTTATAATGAATTTTAATTAACGGGTCATCTTAACTTTGTTTTGCCTCAAAGAGCAGCTTAGCCGTTCTTGTTCCTTTGCATTCCCGCATAAGTTTTAAAGAAAAACAATATGGAACTTTGTTAAGAGTTGACATCTCTCTAATACTGAGTTTCTGATTCATGAATAAGATGTATTTCTTCAGTTATTTAGGCTTACTTTCAGTGGTGGTTTATAGTTTATGGAGAGGTTTTACAGATCATCACTGGTTAGATTTTTTAAAATGTCGTTTGTAATTACGTGGCTATCTCTAAAAGATATGGATGTAAAAATTCATAATAAAATATTGCTAAAGTATTAACCATGATTCCTTAATATTAGATAGCTAGTCAGTGTTCAGATTTCAGTTTCCTCGTAAATAAAGTGTTTATTTCTTATTCAGTTAAGATCCAAATTAGGTCCACTCATTGGCATTGGTTGATAATGTCTTTTTCAAGTGTAATTATTTCATTCATGTTTTTCCCGCTTTGTAATGAATTTATTGTATTTGAAGAAATTGAGTTGTTGATCCTATGGAGTTACAGTCTATGTCTTGCCGATTGCATCCCCCCTGATGGTGTTTAGTATGTTTTTCTGTCCTCTATTTCTTGTAGATTGTTAGTTGGATCTAGAGGCTTAATCAGATTCATTTGATTTAATATTTTTGGCAGAACTATTTCATAGGTGGGGTGGGATGTTCCTTTATCAGGAGGTACTTGATCTCTGATTTCTCTTTTTTGTAATATTTATAGCTACTGATGCTTAATTCCTAGATAAGTTAATTAATTAAAGGATACAAAATAGTGGTATTTTTATTTGATCATTTTTTCACTTACTAGCTATTCTCTATACAGAGAAAGTTCTCTATTTTATTTGATTACTTAGTGGTATACTTTTATAAAGAAAGTTAGAATAAGATCATGACTCTTGACCAGTTTTCAAAATAATGAGTTAATTTACTGCAAGCACTGGTGTTGACCAGTGACCCTTTTAAAAAATTTTTCGTTATAAACACATGGACTTAAATATGCTTCCATTTCAGTCCTTTGTAATTGGCTTCTTCAGGTTGGCTCCTGAACCCTTTAGACAGGACCCTTCTAGTCTTTGAGAACTTTCTTGCCATCTCATGTAACCGATATCATTCGTATTTTTTATCCCATATCTGAACTTGAAATTTTCTAAGTAGCCTTAGTATCTTTTGGTAGAAAGTGTTATTTTAGGATCAATATGGGCATGTTATATGCTATTAACAAGTAATACATGTAAATGTAAGGATACAGAAAGGTTAAAAAAAAAACTTGGAGAAAGATACTCATTCAAACCCAACTAAAAGAAAACTTGTTTTGCTCTGTTAATATTAGACTAAATAGACTTTAAGGCAGAAAAGTATTATTTGAGATAAAAAGGGAGTATTTCACAATGTTAAGTTCAATTAATAGAAGATATGACAAATTTAAGTGCATGTATGTGTACCTGATAAAATATATAGAGAAAAAACTAATAGAACTAGAGTATGCTTTTTACATGTGTATGAGATTTTTGAACCGGTAAATCAACAGAGGTGGCTATAAAAAGCAAACCACAAAATGAAATACGTCCACAGTACCTCCGTTATAAATAAATAAATAAACTTAATTACCTCCCCCACCAAAAACAAAAAACAAGAAATGCAGTAACAACAAATGAGCCTAATTATATACTAACTATTAACTTCCTTTAGATTTGGCTGAATACTCTAAAATTTTCTTTCCATTTTTAAACTTTTCAGTTTTTCTTCTCTTTCAGTTTGGAAATTATACGCCAATTTATAGCTCTTTTGCTATTAAGTATTTAGTTAAAACTTACAATGTTCATGCTTGATCAAAAGTGCATAGTTTTAATAGATATTTTAATTGTCTCTGTAGATAAGGAAAAAATCTTTAAAAACAAAAACTTTAACTCTGTTAATCCCCATCCCACTTAGTATATTATTGTTGTTATGTATTTTAATTCTATATTTTAACCTGTGTAAAACATACGATTGGTCCTCTGTATGTACAGGTTCTGCATCCTTGGATTCAACCGTGGATTAAAGATATTTGGGAAAAAATTCCAGAAAGACTTGAATTTGCTGTGCATCAGCATCTATTTACATACAACTTCTGTTGGACTTACAAGTCTGCACATAGCATTGCGTTGTGTTAGGTATTATAGGTGATCTAGGGACGTTAAAGTACGCAGGAGGGTGTGCCTGAGTCATAGGACATACTGTGCTGTTTTATGTAAGACACTTGAGCATCTCAGGATTTTGATGTCCGACGAAGGACCCAGTTCCCCACAGATACCAAGGGACGGCTATACTCAGTTGTGCCCTGTGCAGCCCTTTTTTTGTTTGTTTGTTGATTCTACCAGTTCATGTATTTCTTCTCTCCTTGTGCTTTGCATAATGTGTTGGTCATTGTCTCTGGAAGGTTATGTAAAAATAATCTTGAGGCCTAGCATGATGCTGTCTTCTTCCAGAGAGGCTTTTCCTTTGCTCTGCCAGGATTCTGGGAGCAGTAGCAATGTGGGATCATCTTAATCCTGTTTAAAGGACTGAGCTTTCCTGAAGTACTCAGTTGAAGTGAAGCTGGTCTGCAGCCCATGCAAAGGCCAGTTTACTCCTGCTTCTTCCTCGGGTGTCGTCCTTCCGGTCCCAGCCTGAAGCAGGGGGGCTACCAGGTGCCCACTCTCTGCAGGCCCTGGATGCCAACATTTGTGTTTTTTTTCTGTGTGCAAGGCCATCCCAGGTACGGCTCAAACTCCTGACTGCTACTCCCTGAATAGTTCAGATGTTTCTAGGGAAAACACTGGGCTGACCCCTGTGGATTTCCTCACTGTTCTGGTTCTCAAGATAGTGATTTTTCATTGTTGTATTTGTTCTCTGATGCCTTCAAATAAGTATTTCTTACACGATGCATTTAAAAAAAATTTTTTTTGACTCTGTGGTTCAGTCTACCTAGTCCCCATACTTCATGCTTTAAATTTAGTTCAGTACGCTGTTGCCGGATTTAGCTGCTGGTACTAAACTTTTTAATTTTAGTGATTGGCCTGTTTTCCCAGCCCCATTTGTTTTACTACTGTCCTTTTCCCCTTGTTTGAAATATCACCAATAGGCTAAGAATTCTTATACATACTTGGATCCGTTTCTGGAATTTCTCTTGGGATTTTGAAAGTAGGGAATAAAAATGAATATTTCTTGATTAAAACCTAAGATAAACTTCAAGGACAGGAAATTTATTAGCTACTTTTGAATATTATGGTTTCATCTGTTTTGGCTTTGTAGCAGTTTTTAAGAATAATTTTGTAATACCATATAATCAGTATTTGAAAGTGTTGACTGGCTTGGACTGCCATTTTGAAGTAATACAAAGTCCACTAGTGCTGTACACTTGCTTGACTTCATACGAGTTTCATATGCTTTCAGTAGGTAATCTTAAATAAAACAGTTCTGTTAGAATTAATGCTGGTTTCTTATTGTTTTATAGTTTATCTTGAGGAATGTGAACTAGCTAAACAGCTTCATCCAAAGGAAAATGATTTGGTGTTCTTGGTTCCCGAAAGACTAAATGAAGAGAAGAAGGATCTACAGAGAAACTTTGTGCTGGATCCCCACGAATATCACTGTGGTTATGTTCATAAATTTCGCCGCACTTCAGTCAGTAAGTAAATAATGAGCGGTCGAAGGGACATCTGTCAGAAGCTCATCTTGTAATTTCCCTCTAAGTTAGGCTTTACTGGCCACGTGTTTGCTGGACATTTACCAGTTGTATATTTACTCTGGGTTTAACAGACCTGTATTTGCTGTACATTTATTTACCAGACCTGTATTTGCTCAGTTGATTACTTGCCATTCAGGGTCCTTTTTTAGTTTTTCTGGACTCAGCTGGAAAAGGCCCAGTATTTATTGCATTAGACTTACAATTTAAAAGCTTTCTTTTGTTATGTCTTCTCCTTCTAATAAATTCCTTCATCTGTCAGTGTGTTTGTTACAAAACAGACAATGTGCAACCTGTTTGTTAAATCACATTCCAACCTTGGTTTTGTGGCTAATTGTTTCTGAAAAGACCAAACTTACAACTCACTGTAAGGCAGCTTGAGGGGTTCGCTGTCTCCCTCACTCCCATCCATTGCGTTGTGGGGGCTTCTCTCCGTAAGGTAAGATAACAGAAGTTTTAGCGTGAACTTAAGGAGCACCACCTGTGCCCTACCTGGGCACACTTGTCATCTTTTCCCAAAGCCCTGCAAAATAATAAAAATTACTCATTCCCTGCTCGTTGGGAAGTCAGAGCTCAGGGATGTTAAGTAACTTAACCAGGGTCATCCTCAGTATTAAAAGATAGGTACAGAATTGAAACCTGATTTTGTTTGGCTGCAAAGTCCACGATCTTTATTATATTCCAAGCTGCCTTTTTGACATTGCTGCTTTCTTAGTCTCTATTATATGAAGACAATATGATTTCATTATTCCTTTACCTTTTTGTGTTTTATCTTAAAAATTACAACAGAGCCCCTTAGAGCTCAGCATTGTGCTGCCTCATAACTGATGTGCCGTATTTGCTAACATAGGTGTGATCAGGGCGCAGGGCTTTGTGTAGAACGTGTTTAGAGGAGTAGCAAACGAGGATATGTGCCTTAATCTGTGCTTTAGACTCTTTCAAGTGGTTAATTTGCCAAATTTCTATTTCTAAGGTAGTATCCTTCCCTGAACCCTTCTTGCATCCCACTCTCTGACGTCTCCATTTGGAGATAGATTAACCATTTCAAACCTACACCAAAAAGAATGCTTGATTTTCTGCCTGACATCTGCAGTTCCTTTAATTTTCCCATCTCAGTTAGCAGGGCTTCCAATCTTCCAGTTGCTCAGCCAAAAAACTTCAGCATCATCCGCCTAGTTCACCAGGAAATCGTCTTGACTCTTCCTTTGCAGTATATCCAAGATCCAGGCCCCACTTCTACTATTATGTCCTGGCGCACACTTCCACTAACTTTTGCCTCAATCCTACAGTGGCCTCTTAAGTGGTCTGTCTTTGCTTTTCCCATTGCGGTTTATTCTGTAGTCTGCAGTATGTGATTCTCTTAGTGTGTAACTTAGAGCATGTCTCTTCCCTCCACAGAATTGTCTCAGGTAGTGTTCAGAGTCCCTACTGGTCTACATAGTCCCATAAAGTGTGGCCCCACTCTACTCTGTCTCCTAGCTCGTTTCTCCCTACTTTTCCTTCCAGCCATTCTAGCCTTCTCCCTGTTCCTAAAATACTCTAGTCACATCTCTGCCTCGTGGTCTTTGCAGTTTCTGATTCTCCTCCTGTAACACACTTTCCCCAGGTCACGGCGTGGCTCACTCCCTTGTGTCAAGCATCGGCTCTGGTATTATCTTGATCAGGAAGGCCTTCCCTGACTGTCCTGCCCGTGGTAGTCCTCCCTCACATCCTGCATCCCTTTCTTGCCCACTCTCTGCCTTCTTCATAGCACTTACATCCCCTGACACATTCATTTGTGTATCTGTCTCCCTCTGCGAAAAAATGACAGAAACATTGCCTGGTTCTTATGAGGCATTCAGTAGATACTTATTGAGTAAATTATTGATTTAGTGTATAAAATACATGTTACAAAATACCAATTCTGAATAACCTGTTTAACTGGATACTGTTACTCACTGGTGACTGAAACGGCTTTTTCTCCTTCTTGGTAATAGTGCGTAATGGGAAGTCTGAGTGTTCCGTTTCCATCCAGACTCAAGATAACTTACCAGTCAGTTTAAGTGAATTCGTGAAATGTATTGTAATTAGCTCTCTGGTAACGACACAAAGGAAGTTGAAAGCCATGTCTTTGCTGAGTGGTCGGAACCAACTGGCCAGAGCCGTTCTGAATCCAAACCCCATGGACTTCTGTACAAAAGATTTACTAACTACAACATCTGAGAGAATTGTGAGTAATGATCATCTAATAACAGGAAAAGTTGGAACATTTCATGTCAGAATGTTAAAGCATCATGTTGTCTTTATCTATTACATGTTCCCTCATGTCTGCAACAAAGACATAGTCATCTTGTGTGCCCAGTGACACTGTTTAGTGCTTAGGTTTTTGATATTTCAAAGTATGTCTTTGTGTTGGATTAGTCAGCTTACTTTAGGAAAAAGGTAGAGTACAATAAGGAATTGAAAATATGATTGAAGAACAACTTTAAAATGAGCATGCTACTTAAGTTTTTGTTTAGGTAATTACAGTTCAGGAGTAGGAGTTGATTTAGCGAAATTAATTTTGATTTTGAAAGATCAATGGAAAATTGACTGATACTGTCGCAGGTATGAAGATGAAGTTGTCGTTTTGTGTGAACTCATATTTCTCATTGTAAGAGTTGTGTGTAAGATCCAGGAAGTTAACACAGAGTTAACACAGAGACAGGCACAAGGAAAGTAGTGCTTTTTGGACATCTGCTGTGTGTTAGGGTTTTCATGTGAGTTATTTCACCCAATTCTTACCCTTCTTAGGAATCCTAGACTTAATATATGACAAACACTGAAGCTCAGAGTTAGGAATTTAGAGATCTAGCTTGTGAATGAAACTGAGGTATAGACTCAGATCTGACCCAAAATCTATCTTCTTTCTACTATATCAGCTGTGTTAGTAAGAAAGAAAGTCTTGGAATGTTTTTTCTTTTACTGCCCAAGAAGAGAATTGACTAAAATGGGAAGAAACAGGAATAAATAGAAGAAAACTATGTAACAGTTTGTGATCATCTTTATAAGAATGTCAAATAAAAATACGGTTGTATTTGTAAGTGAACTGGAGCCTACAGACACTCATAAGTAACTTTATTTCCAGTAGTGAAAGTGGTTCTCAGGTTAAAGGTCATTTTGGGGTCTGGACTGATCATAACCAGAGCTTCTGTCTGATAAAGATAAGGTGAAATTCAAACAGATGTTTTCCATTATCTCCCTCTCCTGTGCCGCTGCAGGAGGAACAACTCATTCTCACTAATGTCTTTTGTATAGATCGCCTACTTAAGAGATTTCAACGAAGACCAAAAGAAAGCAATAGAAACTGCATATGCCATGGTGAGACACTCCCCATCGGTTGCCAAGATCTGTCTGATTCATGGACCACCTGGCACAGGAAAGTCAAAAACCATTGTCGGCCTCCTGTACCGCTTACTGACAGAGGTAGAGTCCGTGTGAGGGCCTCATTGCTGTCACTGAGTACTTCCTTTTGCTTCACTTGAATTAACTAACATTTACACGAGTACGAAAGTGCCTTTTCTCCTTCAATTTTGTGTATCTTTCTGATGTTGTGTGGAATTGTATCAGATAAAAGGGCAGCACAGGTGGAGAAGGTTATCAAATAAAAAGAGCAGAAAACGTTGTCTTGTGTGAAACTAATCCTAAGGGCTAGGATGGTGGTCTCCTGGCTTTATTTGAGGTCACGTCTAACACCAGGAAACCATCTTCAGTGTGTTCGTGGCTACATTTTGGTTGGTTTGAGTGTTGAGTAAAATAAGTGGGTAGTAAGATAAGACTCAGAGAAGTTACGGTAACATTCTATGCTAGAGTAATTTTCTAATATCAATTGACGATACGGGCGCTTTTATTTACTTTTAACTATTTGTAAGGGGAACTTTGAATATACATGGAAGTAGGGGGTATAGCACTGCAGAATAGTGCTCACCAATGTTGTTTGTTTGTTTGTTCGGTGGCAAATTGTGGAACCAGAGGAGGGGACACTCAGATGAAAACTCCAATGCCAAGATCAAACAAAACCGTGTCCTTGTGTGCGCGCCTTCCAATGCAGCTGTTGATGAACTCATGAAAAAAATCATCCTCGAATTCAAAGAAAAATGTAAAGACAAGAAGAATCCTTTGGGTATGATACTTACGTGGGCTTTTAATTTGTTTTTGCTTTTGTTTGCAGTGTTTAGCGTGGGCAGCTTTGAATGACAAAGTGCAGGCCAATTCTGGTGGCCATTTCCACTTAAGGCTATGGCCCACGTGTACTCACTGATTCGCTCAGCGAACATTACTGAGCATTTATTCTGTGCCAGGCACTGCATAAGTACTGAGGTTTCGACAGTGAAACCTTCAAAGAGTCAGCCTGATGAAGAAGTGGGTGGATCAGTGGGCAGTTAAGTGCAAGGGTGTGAGTTGCATAATAGGGGTGAAACGTGGGCTCTCTGCAACACCTAGAGCAGCCCTTGATTCCGTCGTGTGGCGGCCAGGCAAGGCTTTATAGAGGAAATGATGTCTGCGATGAAGCTTGAGGAGCGAGTTAGGAGTCAGCCATTGCACGTGGGGTGGGGGCGGGGGAGCTCTAGTAGACGTTACTATAAATAAAAAGGAGCAGAAGCAAGAGAACCTCAGTTCAGTGTAACTAGAATTAAAACAAGCTCCATGAAGGCAGAGTTTTTTTAAATTTGTCCACTGCAGTAACCCCAGTGCTTAAAACAGTGCCTGGCACTCGGCTGGGCTGAGTAGATACTTAGTGACTCAAAAGTGGGAGCAGTCGTGGCTTATGGTTGCTGAGCGCTCCTTGTGTGTCAGTCATCTCAGAGTAACAACTGCCCTCACTGTCTGCATTTTATAGGAAGACAAACTGAAGAGTTGAGATGGAAAACATACATAGGGATAACTTTTTTCAGTACAGTTGACAGATGGTGAAATGCATTACCACGGGTGATTTAGGGTGCTTGAGTGAAGATGTGAGAGAATTTCTGTGTACTTAATGTTAGCACTCACTCTCACGCCTCCCGTTATGAGTGGTGTGGTTGCAGCTCTGTATTAGACGATTCTTCCAAGCACGTATGTCTTGTCTTCCATAACCATGTTCTGTTTTCTTTGAGCATACTTTAGTTAGGATTGGATTGGGCTGCAAATAATAGAGATTCCAAATAGTGGCTTAAATATGGTAGATGCTTCTTTCTTTCTAACTCAGAACCCAGAGATGGGCAGCTGAGGCACGGGACTGGTATGATGACTGTGCTTCAGAGAGTCTTCAGAGACTGGGGTCCTTTCATCTTGTTTCTCCACCATGTGTGACCTCTGTTCCTTAGTGCACCTCATGGTCAAAAATGGCTGCTCCAGCTCCAGTAATCACATCCATTGAGTATAAGTAGAAGACGAAGAAGGGGCAAAGGGATTAGCCATACTTTAAGAAAAGTTTCTAGACCCTGCCAGAAACACCTCTGCTTATTTCCTTTTGGCCAGAACTTACTCCCATGGCCACACCCACTGGTGTGAGAGGCTGGGGGACATGTCACCTTTCTTCTGAGGGATCACACACGTTTGTCCTTTTACTACATATGTGCTTTACCTGCATATAAAATTCATCTGCTGTTGAAACTTACATTATCAACCTGCAACTTTTTTACTCACTGTGTTTGTGAGATTTATGATTTTATGTATCACTATATATTGATACAGTCATTCATATTAACTGCTATAAGGTATTTCATTGTATGAGTGCACAGTTTGCTCCTTATCTATTGATAGAATTTTTTTTCCTTTTTTTTGTTATTTCAAACTGTATTGCAGTGAACATTCCTACACTTGTGCATGTTTCTCCACTGCGGGTGTGAAAACATTTACTACGCTGAATAAATGAATTGTGTGTTGCAGACAGTTAAAGGGAACACACTGAAGTCAGGGTTCTCACTCGTGTCTCTTGTGTGTTCGTGCAGCCTTCTAGGGCAGTGCTTTTCAAACTGTGGCTTGTGACCTGTTAGTGGATTGTCAGATCAGTTTAGGGACACCAGAACCAGCACAGTTAAACAAGGTAAAGTAGAACAGAAGGGAATAGAAAAGATCAGAGTCTGGGTAGTGTGAGGGGTTAGTACTATTTTGTGAAACCTGTTTTACTGGGGAGGTGTGTGAGTGTACTGGCTTTCAATGTGAAGTGTGCTTTAACTATAGTTCAAGGTCAGAAGAGTTTATAAAGATACTGGTCTGTATACCTGGAAGTGAAAATGTTGGGTTGAAGGATTTGTGCATCCTCAGTTTCCTAGATAGTGCCAAATTCTTCTTGAAAGTGGTTGTATCAAATTGCACGCCCAAGAACAGTCTTTGTAGGAGGGGTGCAGGCTTCACTCCTCCTCTCTGACTGAGGGAGGGGGATAAGTGCTTCTGCAGGTGTGTGTTGACCACACGGCAAGGCCAGGACTTGGACTGGGCCAGCAAGCGTCCAGGTTGGATTTTTATTTTAGTTTTTTGGTTAGAAAACAGTATCTGACAGTAAAGAGAGCTTTTTTCTTCTTTTTCAGTACTTTTAGTTGTTTTTTTTTTTCCGGGGGGAGGGGGTAATTATGTTTGTTTGTTTATCTATTTTTAGAGGAGGCACTGGGGATTGAACCCAGGACCCTGTGCGTGCCGAGCATGCGCTCTACCACTTGAGCTATACCCTTCCCCTTTAGTACTTTTATTTCCACTTCTTTTCACTACTTCCAGTGGTCCTGGGTGTCCTTTAAAAGGAAATGCCTCAGACATCTAACCGTTAAGTTTGATGTTTGTTTTTGGAGTTTGGTGTGTCCCCTTTATCGGGTTAAAGAAGTTCCCTTCTCATTAAGAGTTTTTTAATGAATTGGTATTGAATTTTATTGCATGCATTTTTTTATCCGTTGAAATGGTAATGAAGCTTGTTTTTAACCTGTTAAAGGTGATAAATTACAGTGCTTTTCTAATGTTACGATATCTTTGATTCCTAGAATAAGGTCACCTTGGTTGTGTATTATTATTTTTTAACACGTTGCTGGATTGCTGATGTTTTATGCAGGTTTTTAAAATGAATATTCATAAATGAGGCCAGCCTGTAATTTTTCTTTGTCGTATCTTTGTTTGGTTTTAGTATTGAAGTTACGCAGACTTTAAAAATGAAGTTATTCAGATATTTATTTGGAATATTTTGTATGAGACAGAATACCTGTTCTTGGAAGGGTAATTTTTTAGTGTTGTTTTGTTTGGGGAGTTTTTGTTTTGGTGGGTTTTTTTTTCTTTTTCTGTCTGTTTTTTTGACAGATGGCTAAGTTTCTATCTGCTGTCTAAATGTAGTTATTCTTGGTCTGTTCAAGGTTTCTAGACTTGAGTGAGTTTTGCTAATTCATA